AATTATCGTTGAGTGATAATTGCACACTGTGCAATTACCGCTGTAATTTTTCGATAATTGCACATTTCAAACGGACAGATTATCATACGAAGGAAATATTCAATAATAATGGAAAACTGTAAATAATTATCTGTTGACCTGCTATCAGGCAGAAAATATTCCACTATTTGATGGAAATAGTAAACAAATAAAAGATATATTAGTTTCTTGTTCTGATAATTTTCATAATGGGTAAAGAGATAATAAAAGTATATGATCAATAATAAGCCAATCAATGATGCGTTACTTGGCGCAATGTTTAGTTAGTATAAAATAAATAAAATAACTAACTGAAATCGACTGAAACACACATTTCCAATTCTGCTCAAATTTCTACTGATTGCATTGCAGAAGATTTAAAACTGAATTTTTCATCAATGAGATTTATTGTAAATTACAATTAATAGTTAAGCCGATCCTAACTCACTTAACATAAAAAATAGAACAAAAACAAACAACATTCCAACAGGAAAAATTGTCACTTCGTAAACATGATTATGTAAACCTAACATGATGATGAGACAATGTTCATCAGATCATACAAGATTTTTGTCACAACATTTAAGATCAAAGTTGTCCCCTTCGAACTCTAAAATCATTAAATGTTATTACGTATTTAATATTTTTATTGGGTGATCTGAAAAATAATTATTGCGAAACTTCGATTATGTTAAATGAGTTTTGTTTGATTGCTAGTTCATCTATTTTGTATGCTGCTCTGAACGGAGCTTTGACGAAGTTTTCAAAGTTGCACCGAGAAACACGATTGTTCGATTTCAAAGATTATACCGAATTTTACACAAAATTTTTAATTACTTGATTTACCTGTGCAATTAATTACACAAAACCTGTGTTATTAAAATTTCAATGACAAACTTATTTGTTAAACCAAATGTATTTTTTTACTTTTTTGATTGAGGATTGACCAAACGTATTTATTGCGAGCTGCTAATTTGAATCCTTTTCAAAAAAAAAATCGGCGACACATTCATACCGTGTAAGGGTTTTATAGAAATAGCTACCTAGATTTGAATGGTTTAATTTTGCGTAACTTGCCCGGTGTTAATAAACGATTTTTACGTTCCAAGTTTGACAAACTCAGAATCAATGCCAGCAACAACAAGTATTAATTTTATGATTTACTATATTAAAATTACAGTTTTAATTTAATTATATGTCTTTTTCTTCAGACGTTACCGCGGACCAGTAATTCAGCACTACAATTAGAATACTTTAAAACATTTTTGATCAATCTACTTGGATGGAGTGTTTTACTACCAACAGTATCCTTCTTCGCGGTGTACAGGAAAGTTATCGATATTATATTAAAAACGAAACATGGAGAACGATATGGTGGCCTTTTTAATCTGAACGATGGAATTTTCTTCTGGAGAGACTTTTCTCCTCCTTACCTGACCACGGTATTATACATTAGAAGTAAAACGCAGATCGACCTCTTACCCAAGGTGCAGAAGGTCATCAAGGAAAAGGTAATTTTCAAACTATTGAACTGATTTCGAATTATAGTAAATTTTTATTTCGATTCATTCGCTTTAACTTTAACTACTCATTATGGGTAGTAGTTGAAGTTATTGTTAACAGGTTATAATTGAATTAGAATTATTCTCCGAAATTACTGTTTATTTAAAGACATTTTGCAAACCTCTAAATGCGCTGCATTTAAAGACTTGCCGAAAATCATGTTTTTTTAATTTTATTTCCAATCACGACGACGTTAGGATCGTTAACAGCTCCAAAAACTGCATGACGCTGATCCAGAGATATTGATAAAGATTGGGAGTATTGTTGTAGTCAATATCCACAAAATATTACGATACTTTTCCAAAAATTCTTTACTTTAAAATATGTGTACTTATATTAATTTTGCTTTTCTGTATTTTCTTTTTCTTTATGAAATTCAAATGAGATATAAATAAATTTATAACAATTGTATTTGCAATTAAAATGTTTATTATTACATTTATGCACGATTTACAAATAAATCGCTTTATAATTTAAATATTTACTTTTAGAATTTAAAATGTTGATACTAAAGGAAGCTATAATTCGGTCTTCGTCAGTCTCCTAAAAAATTTTTAAACACACCATTGCCTGTATGATTTGTAAGTCTCTTCGTACCACGTTTTTGACTTGATAGTGTCTATTTCTTCTAAGCCTTCTGAGGTTTCCATTCCTGAATTAAATAGGATTTTAGTTCTGGATATTCAAAAGAACACGATTTTTTGAGGTTTGCAAATATATGTTTATGCATTTATCCTTGCCATTTGCGTTGATCGTATTTCTAACAGTGTTTTTGTATGTAAAATGAGATAAATGGGCAGTTTTATCCCGCCCTATGCTATTAATCAAAAAACAACCATTGATTTGTTAATAAAACATTAACAACATATACATTCTGTATATATTTCATCTTACTTTTTTGCTTCTACCTAGATCTTTACCAATCCAGACTTGTATCCGAAACTAACTGGGGCGAAATACTCTTTCGGAGGATATGCTTACTGGTTGAAAAATGGACGTAAAGTAGATAATGTAGTTAAAACATTGAGGCAGCCAATTGCCGGTAAATTTGATGAGAAATATCTGAAACAAGCGACTGCTGAAATACTGGAGGTACCACTGACGGACGATAATCCGGAATTATGGAATTTCTATATCAGCAAGAAGCCACTTGAAAATTTCAGTTCGGTAAGCTATATTGAGGTTGATTCTATTCATTTTATGACTGCAACAATTCACATTTCTTAATTAAACAAAATTACATTTAGGAATGTTTTCCGGGCTTTGAAGCCGTGGTCTATGGGAATTTCTTCCTGACGTTTCGTCCACAACTGCGGTGGACATTATCAAAGGCGATGAGGAAGTGGGCGAAATGATCTGCCGTGCTCCAACTAAGACAGATTCAACTGCTGGATTCCCCGTCGTATTTATGCAGCCCAGCCGTGTGTGCTCGTGCGTGGGGGATGGGTGGGGGTTCAAACGATTCGGCGCACATGCTGTTTGGCGCAAAACGCGCTTACAATCTGGATTGAGTGCCGTAATTTCTTCAATTATTACTCTTCGAAGAAATTACGGCACTCAATCCCGATTGGAAGTGCGTTTTCCGCCAAACAGCATGTGCGCCGAATCGTTTGAACCCCCACCCATCCCCCACGCAAGAGCACACACGGCTGGGCTGCATAAATACGACGGGGAATCCAGCAGTTGAATCTGTCTTAGTTGGAGCACGGGAGATCATGTCGCCCACTGCCTCATCGCCTTTGATAATGTCCACCGCAGTTGTGGACGAAACGTCAGGAAGAAATTCCCATAGACCACGGCTTCAAAGCCCGGAAAACATTCCTAAATGTGATTTAACCGGCCGTGAAAGCCTTCATAGTCTGATAAACAAAATTAGATCTAGTCTTTCAAAAACAGAAACAGAAGTGGTTCAGCAATACATGTCTAGATACTATTTTTTCCTCTTACCTTAAAATAATTTATTTCGATTCAGTTGGTAATTACATAGGGCTTCAATTTCAAAATAAACCAACTTAAATAACTTTTAAACTTAAATAGTTAAGCAAAATATAACAAAATTGACTTAGATTAGAACGGGGAACTTCTGTTCAGCATGGATATTTTCTTCATAAAGCAACAAGGCTACATTTGTATTCGTTTGATTTTCTAAAGATCGCATGATATGTGGCTGTTGCACATTTCCTAGAAGATGAAAATACACACCAATTCAATTATCTTCTAAAAATTTAAGTCTTACGTAGACACTGAGCGGAACTATCAAATATTCATATACCATTATTGATAAAACATATTTGATTTTTTTAGGATGGCTCCTACTGTTACCCCATAGTTGCTCGTTTTCATCACACGATCGCAGATGCTACTTCGATAGTCGCACTGTTCATTAGGCTATTTGGGGATAGTTCAGCTCAAAACTACAGTGAAGAGCTGTTTGAACGAATACTGAAGCCATCTACTATCCAACCTTATCATAGAACAGCAATAGAATCGACTATTCTCTTTGTGGTATGACTTGAAATTATTATAGTTTATCAAAGAAGTAATCAAATTTCATTTTTGCAGAAAAAATGTGTCAGGACCATTTGCTTTTCCTTTGACCTTATATTTTTCGCATTTGGAAGAATTATTCAAAACACTCATTTGCGAAAAACCGATCAGAATGCTCTGCATGGTTCCAATTACTCAGGAAAGAAAATCACGGTCTGGGCTGATGAAAATGAATCCGATTGCTTGCTCATGGTGAAGAAAATAAGGGAGCGAACTAAATCAAAGTTTACCTGTGTAGTTGGCACAGCTATATCGGCTAGTTTGACCGAGTACTTTAAGAGGGTGAGTTTAATAGAACTTTCGAATTATACAGGGTGATTCAAAGTCGATGGCGTATTAGACGTTAGAGACGCCTAGAGGCACGGTTTTTATTTGTTCTGTTTCAACTGATCTTCAACTCGGTAGTATTGGACTTGGTTTCAATTGTTTATTGTTTTTCAACTAACAGCTTATTCAGCTTTGTCACCAATCCTCAAATACATCATCTTCTATATTGACAATGTTTGCTATCATTGACTCAATTTTTTTTTTTATGTTTCAGAATAAGCTCCCAGTGCCAAATAGCGTAACTGGTGTATTAACATTACTTCTAAACTTCCCATCAATTGATCCAAATAAGCCAGTTGTATTAGACAACAAGACAGCCGGTCTGGGCTTCGATTTACAATTGCATACTTCCAACAATTTGGTGGATACCTTGCGTACTATTACCACTACAATGAACACCCAGTTAAAATACACAGATGCCATAGTAAGTAAACATTCTACATAAATCCCTATTTTCAATAAGTTGTCCTCAAAGAAAGAAGTCTAAGGGTGTTCAATCCGGAGATCTTGGGGGCCATTCAATTGGTCCCCTTCTGCCAATCGATCTATCCGGGAATCAATGTTAGGGGGGTTCGAAAATAGACTTTATTATTGTTTACAGGAAAATAGAAAACATTTTCAACAAGTTATCAGATAGTGCGTACCTAAGAAGATTCCATGGGTTTTATCGTAGAAATTTCTCTTTCGTAAATAAAAAGTGATTTTTCTCGCAGTAAAATGATGAATCAATCCGAAATCAATTGTTTAAACTGGACTTTTTCCATGTCATTCAACGATTTTAACGGTGTAACCGAATCTTCTATTAATTTGCGCTATAAGAAGACCCAATGACATAATTTTGATTAAGCACTAATCTGAAACCCAAAATCTCAATGCAGACAAGTTTAATTGTTTCTGTAATTTTGAAACGCGATTATTCGAAAACCTCTGAACAAAACGCAAGAAAGTCTAAAAAACGAATGTAAAGAAAATTGAACGCTCTTTAAAACGATGTGCCACTTGATCCCCCTTCTCATTTTATATTCCAAGGGCGACATCTACCCGTCCTAATGGGTTGAAACAAGGAGGCTAAAAATATCCATTTAAAGTGTCCCCTTTACAAATAAAATTGACGGGTCTTTCCCATTTTTCATATTTTAAACTGCAAAAAAGATATTAAGAGTGGAGAGTTTTCAAATTGACACCCGGTATACAACAATGACCGGATTTACTTTAGACACATTTTAATTTTTAGATTTCCTACGTGCTCCTGATATACGTCATGGGATGTGTGCCTGTAAAACTACTTAACAATTATTTGGGGTATGACTCACAAAGTTTCCTATTCACCAATATACCAGGTGGCTCTAAAATTGAGATGTTTGACGGATGCGTTTTAGAAAAAGTGGTTCCTGTTGCCCCCAATATACAAGGCATGGGTAAGTCGAAAGATGACAAATTATCTAATTCAACTGCATCAAAACATTATGGCAATCGTTCTTACTGCTTCCCATCAATGATCAATAGCTTCAGATCGAGACCAGAACTGATACGCTATCATTAAAAAACCATGACTTACACAAAGACTCATTGATGGCTAGTTCCGAGTACTCGCAACTCTTTGTCTTCATCTTCAAGTTAATCATTCGATCATAAACTTAGATAAATAACGCTAATAAAATTATTTATAAAATTGAAACTGGCTTTTTGCAGGCGTCTCCTTTGGCATAATCAGTTATGATAATAAACTGCAGATAGGTGTGACAGTGGACAAGGCATTAACTTCCAATTCAGATGAAGTGCAAAAAATTGCAACTGACTTCTTTAATAATATTCGGCTTTTAAACGCCGCTACAAAAAGCGAATGTTAATCTGTATCAACTTTTTAGTTTTATACAGTTAGGTAATTCTTCTAATCTCTAGACACCTTTTCTATTATTAAGTGTGAATTATACGGTAGTATTTATATTTTCGAAATGACTCAATGATTGTACACATGAAACACTTTTTTAAAAATAAGTGTTGTGATTTTCTTGAAAAGATTGAACGAGATGTGAATAAAATCAATTGAATGTAACTATTTTTTGGTTATTTCCCAATCCTATTTATTACTCCCGTAACGTTCTATCAATTGCAAAGGTTCTTTCTACATATACAGGGTGCTTGATTAAAATGAATTTGCCGCAGCCTGAAGATGTTACCCTTCAAGTGTCGCAAACATGATCTACAAGTTAATATTTTCGCAGTTATTGGGTAAAAGTTATTGGATAAAAAACGGGATAATTACATTTTTGGAAGCAACATGACTGGAAATAAAAAAGCTTATTGAGCTTTATTTATGATAAAAACACGACATTAAGGCATTCAAATAAACAATAGGCCAATATGACCTTCGTGTATGGATTTTACAAGGATGGCACCACCGTATCAGCGGGTTTCTCAATTTTCTCAATCCAAAACGATGGTTAAGTCGTTACGGTTTCATTGCCGGATCACTGCGATCTCCAGATTTCAACCTGTTGAACTATTTTCTTGTGAAAACACGTATTTATTCGATGGGAAAAGTTTATTGCATAGTTAAACTCGTCGGAACAATTCAAGTAGAATTTGTTGAGGTGAGAAATAATATGGAAAACAGCAATTGGAAATGAAAGCTACGCCGGAGGTTTGAATTATGCATGGCACAAGATTCATACACGCTGTTGCAAAAAGTTGGTCAATCCTGGAGCAAAATTAATACGAGTTTCATAATATAATCTTTCATATCTTTCTCTATCGTTCATTTGAGATCAAATAGAAAAATCCAAGAAACTTCTGGTTGGCCAAGCAATAACGTTCCCGCGACCAATTGACCGATTTGGTCAAGACCTGTGAGCAGACCTTCAAAAACTGTAACTGTAAAATGTTTTGTTTCAATCCACAGGGTACAGCTTTCGATACAACTAAGTTTGCATCTTTGGAAAACGTGTAAATACTATCTAATACTATTATAATGCCGACATGCGGTGGCTATTCCACGAGGCAAGGTGACTGCAATCAAACAAAAGAACTTCAAGTGCTTAATTAGCGTTTGCTAGGTTTATTGCAACATATTGTAACTACTTCGATCGATTTGCACGGTTTTGTACGTACAGTTACAAACGTACGGTTTTGAAATGGCACTGCAAAACACCCACACAATACACGTTTTTTCCCAGTTGTTTTTCTTCAGTGTAACTCGGGACAGCGGGTGTTTCGATAAAATACAATAAAAAACAACTTTTTTGATAACAAAAAGTAAATCTAGTTGATCACTTTTAAAAAACTGTAATCGGGAGCGTTCATGATAGGGTTGGAATGTTCAAGAACAACCGGAACAAACGTACCCGCACACTAACGGCTTTGCAGGAACGGTTTGGAACGTAAGTTTAAAATAATATAAAAAGAGTTTTAACTAAATTTACTGTATTTTACCTTATTTTCAAATTAAAAAAATCAGTAATTTTTGTGCAAAAAATTGAGTTCATAAAAAGAAAATACTCGTATCCCTCGGATGGCTCAGATTACTAGACGATTAAAGAACTAAATTACTCAGGAGATATGAGGCCCGCATAAGAATTAAAACTTTGACCAAGGAAAGATGGCACTATGTAAGCACCCTTCACAATATGTTTATTTGAATTTTGTTTGCTAATCTTATAACGTTTTATTTTGTTATTAAATTTGATTACAGTATCAACAGGATTTCCGTAAATTATTTAAAAAAATTTAACTAAAATGGTAACTGTCACCGTTTTCCGTCGCCGTTTTAAATATATATTGATGTATGAAATATGCATGTTAAAGTCGGATTTTCTATTTTGTACATTAAGTTTAATAAAATGAAAAATTTGAGCCACCTTTGCGAAATTTGTTATTTTTTTAAAAAAGTTGATTCCGAATTTTTTTTAAAATAATTCCTATTATAACCTAGTAAAACAATACACAATGCATTATTTTATTGGACGAAATTAATTGAACTATATTTAGTGCCTCTATTGAAATCAAGGTGTAGCTAAGAAAATTACGCAACAAGATGTAGGTATTAACTTAATATTTTTAAAGAATTGGACCGACAATAGGTAAGTATATGTTTTGAACAAGGAACATTTGCGATCACGAACAAACATTTGCGACCGCTATAATAAAACACTTTAATTTATTCAAGACGTAAATAATTACACATTCAGTAATCAATGCATTTTTTTGATTTGCAATTAAGCGCCATTGTTCTCGTTTAGTATTCATAATTGATCGCTTAATACAGAATCAGATCTTCAAAATCACCCGACTTTTCCGAGTGAGTAAAAAGGTACTCGATGTGAGTTTTCTCAAGTAGCCAAGAACTATAAGAGCTTTATTTTTACCTATCTTGAGACAGAAAATCACTGCAAACCAACCAGTTAAAATGGAGAACGCATTTGCCTGAATGTATGAATTTCGTTATTAATCTAATTTGAATATGTTGTTATTATGCCAACATGCTACATTTTTTCCAACAAGTCATTAATTTAAATATTTCCGTATTCATAAGAATACACTCTAACAGTAAACATGGTATCAATTATAATGCATATGGATATGCATTCTCGATATCAGTAAGAAAGTTCAATTGATCAGTCATTCTGTAAATTATACCAGGAAGGACAGTGGCTCGTGCGAGAGAGCGGGAATCAAGCAAAACAAATGACCTGCTGATAAATAAATATGCACTAAATAGAGCAGCGACCTAAATGGTCATACATATTCAGGATAACTACTACATAAACAATTTAACAGACTTTGTTCCACAACCAAAGAAATATAATAATTCTTATTTACAACTGTTTTACTAGCGTATGTATGTATGGAAACGGCCAGTATCAAAATACAAAAAAATGTTATCCGAACAGCTAAACGAAAGATAAACATAAACAGACACAATTCGAATTATTGTGTCAAATGGAACTCACTATGTTTACCAGATTGCTTCGACAAATCGTCATCTTTACAAGTGATTCATCGAAAACAGTTTGCATGTTTTGATAATTCGAAACGCTTCCTTGCAGTATTATCTGAAGAGTTCAAGGAACTTCATATGAGCATTTATTTGATACATATACTTAACTACTCTCGTCTAGGATCCAAATATTGGTGACCTGATGACCTGATCACCTGATCACCTCTAAAATCACACTAAATACCTCACTAGAACCAAGAGAATTTGTGGTAGTATTTGACCTTTTACCTGATTTTTCTAATTTCATAGACAACAAGAGACTGAACTTCTACCACATGCCCCTTCTCCTGACTTAAAAGCTGGATCCGTCGCTGCTCAATGCATGATTCTCAAATTTGATTATATATTCATTATATACAGGGTTATTCACGCTATACGGCACAATTATTTATAACAAATGTTCGAAATGTTGACCGTCCATTTCCAGGCACTTGTAAATTAGTTTTTCAAAACCACTGCTAACTCTGGATAACATCTGCGGAGTTACAATTTTAAAAGCGTCTCTTATGCGTGTTTTCATATCGTGTGAAGTTGTCGGAAGCGTATGGTAGACAATTCCTTTTATGTATCACCAAAAAAAGAAATCTAGTGGAGTTAAGTCCGGAGATATGGGGGGCCAATTTTGAAACCCATTTCTGCCAATCCACCTGTTCTGAAAGTTGGCATTTAAAAATTGTCGAACTTCGCAGTGATAATGAGGCGGAGCTCCATCCAATTGAAGCCACATGTTGGTTCTAATATTGAAAGGG